GTAATCCCAGCTACTCAGGAGGCTGAGGCAGGAGAATTGCCTGAACCCAGGAGGCAGAGGTTGCGGTGAGCCGAGATCGCGCCATTGCACTCCAGTCTGGCTAACAAGAGCGAAACTCCGTCTCAAAAAAAAAAAAGTAAAAAGGAGTGTAGACTTTAAAGGTCCAAATTTATTCTTAGCCTTCAATAACAAAGAATGAAATCCAGCACCAGAAAGTAATGCATAAAGTTCATTTTGAAAGTGTTTGAAAAGTTGGAAAAAAAAAGATTAAAAGCTTCAGAGTTGTTAAAAAAAAAGTGTAGAAAAATGCTTTTTCAATTTCTGATAAAAATGAGCATAAGACATTTCATTTTATTGTAGAAATACTTTATACAGATGAAATTATATTTGTTGGGGAGAAGAATGTTAGTATTTACAAAAAGAAAAATTGGATCTGGGTGCAGTTTTGGGGTCTAGTATTGGATAAAAATGTACTTTTAGGCTGAGCACGGTGGCTCACGCCCATAATGCTAGCATTCCAGAAAGAGTGAGACTCCATCTCAAAAAACAGAAAACATTATATATACATATAAACATCATAGATATGTCCTGAGAATTCAGGCTTCAGTAACACCTGTACACAGAGATAGCATAATGTCTTCATCATTTACACATGCAGCATACAATTCTGAGATAATTTTGTTAGTAATTCCTATGTAAAATTTGCCACTTAACGTCTTGACAGGTCATTTAGATTGTCACATTTGCTCAATTGTAGATTCATGCAGATATATCAATTTGTTTAAATTCGTAATTCATAGACTTTGAGAGTGTTTGTGTGAGATGATTTCTAGAAAATTCTATTTAATCCAGAGTTTTTTCTACAGAAGACTACTGTATTGAATGCACATTGTCCTGATAAGTTAGTACCAGTATTTTCTTGCATTACTGAGCCATGCAATTAGAATTGCTGAAGTTTCCGTCCAGAAGCCACATTTTCAGAAAATCAGTAGTGGCCATCAGAGTGCTGAATTAAAAGGGTAGTCAAATTTTGCGAAAGAAGAGGGAATTATAGAAGCTGAAAGTTCTAAATTAAGGTGCTGATATTTTCATGCTTCTTATATGCTGAGTATAATGGTTGATAGTCAGACACAATCATGGATCAAAAATGCGTTGTATGATGCATTTAAAGATGGAAACATGCCAGATGCGGTGGCTCACACCTGTAGTCCCAGCACTTTGGGAGGCTGAGGTGGGTGGATCACGAGGTCAGGAGTTCGAGACCAGCCTGGCCAATACGGTTAAACCCCACCTCTACTAAAAATAGAAAAATTAGCCCGGCGTGGTGGCGGGCGCCTGTAGCCTCAGCTACACAGGAGGCTGAGGCAGGAGAATTGCTTGAACCTGGGAGGTGGAGGTTGCACTGTGAGCCAAGATTGCGCCATTTCACTTCAGCCTGGGCAACAGAGTGGGACTTTGTCTTAAACAAAAAATTTTTTTTAATTAAAAAAAAGTAAAAAAGATGGAAACACATTTCGCTGTTCTTTCTTCAATAAACAATAGAGTTTATTTGGCTCATGGTACTGCAGGCTGTACAAGAAGCATAGTGCAGGAATCTGCTTCTAGTGAGGGCCTCAGGAAACTTAGCAGAAGGAGGAACTGTCACATGGCAAGAAAGGGAATAAGAGAGAAGGGAAAAGTGCCACAGTCTTAACCAGATCTCATATACTTTTCTTTTCTTTTTTTTTTTTTTGAGATGGAGTCTTGTCGTCCTGGCTGGAGTGCAATGGCGTGATCTCAGTTCACTGCAACCTCCACCTTGTGGGTTCTAGCGATTCTCCTGTCTCAGCCTTCCAAGTAGCTGGGATTATAGGCGCCTGCCACCACGCCAGGCTAATTTTTTTGTATTTTTAGTAAAGACGGGGGTTTTGCCATGTTGACCAGGCTGGTCTTGAACTCCTAACCTCGTGATCCACCCACTGGCCTCCCAAAGTGCTGGGATTACATGTGTGAGCCACTACGCCCTGCCCAGATCTCACACTCGCTGATTACTGCCAGAAAGGCACAAAGCCATTCATGAGGGATCTACCCCCAAACACCTCCCAGTAGGCCCCAACTGCAGCATTGGGGATCCCATTTCACTTTTATCTTCCTTGCAACTGCCAAATATCTGAGACAGGTCTCAGTCCATTTAGAATGTTTTTTTTTTTTTTTTTTTTTTTCAAGGTTAAGGATATGCTGTGACACAGCCTCAGGACATCCTGACAACATGTGCCGAAGGTGGTATGGGCACAACTTGGTTTTATACGTTTTAGGGAGACAGGACACATTAATATATTAAGGTGTACCTTGGTTTGGCCTGGAAAGGTGGGACAACTCAAATCAGGGAGGAGGCTTCCAGCTGATAGGTAGATAAGAGACAGTTTCATTCTTTTTGAGTTTCCCATTAGCTTTTTCAAAGGAAGCAATCAGATATGCATTTATCTCAGTGAGCAGATGGATGACTTGGAGTTCTGTCGTTTGTCCCAAGGAAAAACTAGGTGTATTGGGTCCATGGAGACTCTGAGTTGGCTTTGAAGAAGGTGTGTTTTGAAATTTTCTAGGGTAATTCTGTCATATGGCATTAGAAATCAAATGTTAAAATCTACAGCCAGGCATGGTGGGCTACGCCTGTAATCTCAGCACTTTGGGAGGCCTGGAGTTCAAGACCAGCCTGGGAAATGTAGTGAAACCCCACGTCTATGGGAAAAAACAAAAAAACAAAAAAACATGGTGGTACACACCTATACACCCAGCTAGTCCCAGCTACTTGGGAGGTTGAGGCAGGTGGATTGCTTAAGCCTAGGAGATTGAGGCTGCCTTGAACCAAGATTTGCCATTGCACTGCAGCCTGGGCAACAGAGCAAGATTGTATTTAAAAAAAAAAACTTACGTAAGCTATAACTCATACTCTCTTTTTGGTTTTTCTCTATGTCAAAAAGTGAGCATAGCCCAAGATGCAGTACCTGTGCTTTTCTCTAAACATACTAATTTATTTGAAGAACTCTTTGATTCTTAAATTTAAACCTAGTTATTTCAAGAGTTCTCTTGATTTTCTTAATTCCGTCTATGCATTTCTGATAGCCTGGTGTTCACAGCTGGCCTCAGAGAATTCCAGAGTTGGATGAGACTTTTAAGATATCCATCCTTTGCTTGATTACTCACTTTGATCACTGCTGTGGTCCAATGGCAATCGGTGGGTTTTTAGAATGCTTTGGCAGTTTAGAAATTCGTTCTATATGTTATGAGATTATGTATGTATAGATAATGACTTAGCTTCTTTACTTGAAAGGAAAGAGTACCTGTTGTTAAGAATGCCAGCAATTTCTTACTACTTTTTTCATTTTGCCAAACTAATACATATAATAATAATCAGAACTCTGGATTTGGAAATAATCCTGGATCTATTTCTTTACATTTTTCTTTTATTAATGTATTTATCACTGTTTTTTGTTTTTTTGTTTGTTTGTTTTTGCAGGCCTCAGCTGTTGAAGAATGCTCTGCAGAGAGCAGTAGAGAGAGGCCAGTTAGAACAGATAACTGGCAAAGGTGCTTCGGGGACATTCCAGGTTAGAGACCAGAGGCTTGATTGTAGAGAAGTGCTTTTTAAAGTTTTTGGTTTCAGGACCTCATTATACTGTAAAAATTTATTGAGGGGGTCAGGCATGATGGCTCACCTCTATAATCCCAGCACTTTGGGAGGCGAAGGTGGGAGGATTATGACGTCAAGAGATCAAGACCATCCTGGCCAACATGGTGAATCCCCTCCTCTATTAAAGTACAAAAATTAGCTGGGCATGGTGGCTTGCACGTGTAGTCCCAGCTACTCTGGAGACTGAGGCAGGCACTCCAGCCTGGTGACAGAGTGAGACTCCATCTCAAAAAAAAAATTTATTCCTCAATAAAGGAACCCCCGAAGAACTTTTGTTTATGTGGGTTAGAAATTGACAATGCTGGGTGCAGTGGCTCACACCTGTTATCCCATCCAGCACTTCAGGAGGCTATGGATCACCTGAGGTTAGGAGTTCGAGACCAGCTTGGTGAAACCCGTCTCTACTAAAAATACAAAAATTAGCTGAATGTGGTGACACGCGCCTGTAGTCCCAACTACTTGGGAGGCTGAGGCAGGAGAATCGCTTGAACCCGGGAAGTGGAGATTGCATTGAGCCGATATCACACCACTGTGCTCTAGCCTGGGTAACAGCCTGGGACTCCATCTCAAAAATTAAAAAAATAAAAAAACACTGAGGAAAAATTGAAGTATTTGTTGATTTATTTAAAAATAATAGTTGTAAATCCATTACCTGTTAACATAAATGACATATTTTTTGGTGAAAAATAACTATCCTCCTCCGCCACCTCCCAACCTTTGTTTTGAGACAGGGTCTTGCTCTGTTTCCCAGGCTGGAGTGCAGTGGCACAATCACAGCTCACTGTAGCCTCTATTTCCCAGATTCAAGCGATTTTTCCAGCCTCAGCCTCCCAAAGTGCTGGGATCATAGGCATGGGCCTGTAGTCTGTCTTCTCCAGTTTTTTTTTTTTTAATGAGAAGTCAGGCATTGTTTACATTTTTGCAAATGTTTTTAATGTCTGGCATAACAGAAGACAGCCAGTATCTGTTTCCGTTTATTTTGGGTTTCTTATTTGAAGAAAATCGAACCTCGCACAGAAATAGTTAGAAAAGGGTGGAATATTTTGAGATAACTTTCAGATAGTTGTAGAAATTATTTTTTGATACTACACCGAAACAACAAATTTTTTTTTTTTTTTTTTTGAGACGGAGTTTCGCTCTTGTTACCCAGGCTGGAGTGCAATGGCGCGATCTCGGCTCACCGCAACCTCCGCCTCCTGGGTTCAGGCAATTCTCCTGCCTCAGCCTCCTGAGTAGCTGGGATTACAGGCATGCGCCACCATGCCCAGCTAATTTTTTGTATTTTTAGTAGAGACGGGGTTTCACCATGTTGACCAGGATGGTCTCGATCTCTTGACCTCGTGATCCACCCGCCTCGGCCTCCCAAAGTGCTAGGATTACAGGCTTGAGCCACCGCGCCGGGCCACAACAAATCATTTTTAAGCAGCTTTATTGAGGTATGATTTACATATCATATACAATTTAATTTATATAATTACAGTATAACTCAGTAATTTTTAGTAACTTTATAGAGTACAACTATCACAGTCCAATTTTAGGACTTTTCTGTCACCCAGAGAAGACCTTTATAGCCATTTCCAGTTACTCCCTATTCCCACCAGCGGCCTCAGGCAACCTCTAGCCTGCTCTCTCTGCACATTTGTGTTTTCTTCACATTTCCTATGGATAGAATCATATACTATGTGATCTTTTGTGTCTGACTTCTTTTAGCATGATTTTTTTTGAGTTTTATACTCCACGTTGCTGCATGTACCAGTAATTTCATTCTTATTGTCCAATAGTATTTTATTCTATGGATGTCACCTTTTTTTTTATCCATTCCTGAGATGATGATGGACATTTGGATTATTTCTACTTTTCAGCTAATTATGAATAATACTGCCTGTGAACATTTATGTTCAAGTCTGTGTAGATATGTTTTTAGGACTTGCTGGACCATATGGTAAATTTACATTCTAAGCAACTGGTAGTGTTTATAAGAGCTCAAGTCTTTTTGTTTTGTTTTGAGATAGGGTTTCACTCTCACCCAATTGCGTGACCTCAGCTCACTGCAACCTCCACCTCCTGGGCTCATGCAATCCTGCCATATCAGCTTCCCTAGTAGCTGGGACTATGGGTGCACACCACCATGCCTGATTAATTTTTGTATTTTTTATAGAGATGGGATTTCACCATGTTGCCCAGGCTGGTCTTGAACTTCTGGGTTCAAGGAAGTAATCTGCCTGCCTCAGTTTCCCAAAGTATTGGAATTACAGGTGTGAGCCACTGCATTTGACCAGGGTTCGTTTCTCCATATCCTCCTCAATATTTGTTATTCTCTTTTTTATTATAGCCATACTAGTGGATATAGGTATCTTACTGTAGTTTTGATTGGCATTTCACTAATAATTACTGATGTTGAGCATCTCATGTGTGTAAGGCCGTTTATTTTCTGTAGTGAAATGTATATTCAAATCTTCTGCCCATTTTTAAAATGGGGTTATTTGTTACAAGAATTCCTTACTCTAAATATAAAGTCTCATCAGATTTTTTTCTCCTTTTCTGTGACTTTCTCAGTAATGTCTTTTGAAGTTTTTTTTTTTTTTTTTTAAATCTCTATTTATCATTTTTAAAAATTGCTTTTGCAGTTTTATGGTTATCTAAGAAACATTGCCTAACTAAAGGTAATGAAAGTTTACTTCTATGTTTTAAGAGTTTCATAGTTTTGGCTCTTATATTTAGGTCTATGATCTATATTGTTTTGTTTATAGTATGAGGTAAGGGTATAATTTGTCCTTTTGCATGTGAGTATCGATTATTCCAGCACATTTTATTGAAAAGAAAACTCCTTACTGAATTGCCTTAGCATCTTATGAAAATCAGTTGACACAAATACAAGGGTTTATTTCTGGATTCTGAGTTCTCTGTTGTTCTTCTCTGTGTGTATCCTTCGTGCCAGTACCACACTGTCTTAATAACTGTAGCTTTATAGTGAATTTTGAAATCTAGAATTAGAAGCCCTGGTATCTTTTTCAGGAATGTTTTGATTATTATGGGTCCTGTAAATTTCCATTCAGATTGTCCATTTCTGCTCCCCTCCCAAAAAAAAAAATACAAAAACAGCTGGAGTTTTGGTAGAAATTGCATTTAACGTGTAGATCCATTTGGGGAGACTCACTGTCTTTACAATGTTGAATTTTCCAATCCATGACACAGAATGTCTCTTCAGTTTCTCTCAGCAGTGTTTTGTAGTTTTAAGTGTATGGCTCTTGAATTTTTTTTGTTAAATTTATTGCCTAGTATTTTATTCTTTTTCCATGCTATCATGAATGGTGGAAGTGTTTTTTAATTTTTGTTTTCAGGTTGTTCATGCTAACCTGTAGAAATACAGTTGATTCGTCCATTGCTCTTGTATCCTTCATCTTTACTGAACTCACCAGTTCTAGTAGTTTCTTTGTGAATTCCTTACAGTTTACTATATACAGGATTTGTTATCTGCAAATAAAGACCATTTTACTTTTTCCTGTCCAATCTGCATGTCTTTTACTTCTTTTTATTGCCTGATTGCTGTCAATAAAACTTCCATTACAGCGTTGAATAGAAATGGTAACAGCAGATATCTTTACCTTGTTCCCCATCCTGGAGAGAAAGCATTCAGTCTTTCACCATTAAGTTAGCTGTAGGTTTTTCATAGATGCCTATTGTTAGGTTGAGCAAGTTCCTTTCTATATTAGTAGTTTATTGGGAGTTTTTTGTTTTTTGGTTTTTTTCCCACGAATGGCTATTGGATTTGTCAAATACTTTTTCAGTGTCTATTGAGCTGATATGTGGTTTGTGTCCTTTGTTCACATGGTCTGTTAACATTATTAATTTTGTGGTAAATTCCTTAAAGTTTAGTTGCCTTGTGGAACCTGAAACCATAATCAGTGAATTTCTTGTACTGTGTTATCTTAAAATTCATTGAACTTTGAATAGATATTTTAATCCTGCATAATTTTGTAGCACGGTACATTGGTCATTTCAAAAACAGTGGTTCAGAGTTACATCAGTTTTCCAAATGTTGGCATTTCATTATATATCATAAAAAAAATCACAATCACTGGTATTGGCCACTGATCTTATAAGAACAGTATTTAAGTATTGGGAAGATAACAAATTCACAGTGATGGACACAGGTTTTTCAGAATTTAAATTTTCTCTTGAAAGGTTGAATTTTATCATTGGCAACAAATACCATTATGTTTTGACATGACAAACTCTTGTAGTTCATTTTCAAGATACTGTCTACCTCATAACCAAGTGTCTGAATAATGGTAGTTTAGCTGTCAGTTATTCAAGTAAAAAAAAACATTCCAGGAAAAATGTAGCTAATTCAGCTCATAACTCTAATAATTACACAAGTGCTTTTCCTGGATACCATCATGTCTACATATGTAGCAGATACGGGTTATGTGTTGCTGTTTCATCCCACAAAATATTCTAAAGACACATATTCAAAAGTTGAGATTTAATGAAATAATATTTAGTACTTTACCAAGGGCATTCCTAAGTGAATTGGTTCTCTTTTTTTAAACCGTAGGTACATAGTAATAAAGAATATAGTAACTACATTTTTTGCCTCTGCCTTGATCTGTCGTAAGCTTACGGCCGTTTTACCCACCATTGCTTCTGCACCATAAGTGCAAATGTCAAGACAGTGGAAAGGCCAGATGTAGTGGCTCATGCCTGTAATCCCAGCACTTTGGGATGCCATGGCGGGAGAATCAGTTGAGGTCAGAAGTTTGAGGGCAGCCTGGCCAACATGGTGAAACCCCATCTCTACTAAAAATACAAAAATTAGCCGGGTGTGGTGGCAGGCACCTGTAACCCCAGCTACTCGGGAGGTTGATGCAGGAGAATTGCTTGACTTGGGAGGTGGAGGTTGCATTGGGCCGAGAACGTGCCATTGCACTCCAGCCTGGGCGAGAGAGCGAAACTCTGTCTCAAAAAAAAAAAAAAAAGTGAAAAAGCAAATAACATCTTAGGATTTTGTTTTTCTGTTTGAGTTTGTTGTTTTTTTGAGACAGAGTCTTGCTGTAACACTGAGGCTGGGGTACAGTGGTGCCATCTCGGCTCTGCAACCTCCGCCTCCCAGGGTCAGGTGATTCTCCTGCCCCAGTCTTCAGAGTAGCTGAGATTACAGGTGTCTGCCCAGCTAATTTTTGTATTTTTAGTGGAGATGAGATTTCACCGTGTTGGCCAGGCTGGTTTCGAACTCCTGACCTCAAGTGATCCGCCCACCTCTGCCTCCCAGAAGTGTTGGGATTACAGGCGTGAGCCACGGCGCCTGACCCATCTTAGTTTTATTATGCAAATAGTTTTGACCTTGGAGATCTTCTGAAAGGGTGTCAGGAACCCCAGAAGGTTGTGGACTATTCTTTGGGAACCACTAACCAGTTTTGTGGAGCATTTCTGATTTTCTCCTTTTCCCTTTTTGCTTATTACTGCTAACCTTTGTTCCTACACCTTTCATTTTCAAAGTATGTAATTTTCTTTTGTATGATACTCTAAAATATTTTTTATTTTATTTATTTTCAGAGACAGGGTCTTGGTCTGTCACTCAGGCTGGAGTACAGTGGTGTAATCATAGCTCACTGTAGCCTCAACTTCCTTGGCTAAGCCATCCTCCCACCTCAGCCTTTCATGTAGCTAGGACTACAGGCATGCCACCATTCATAGCTAGTTTTTTTATTTTTAGTAGAGAGAGGGTCTCGCTATGTTGCCCAGGTTGGTCTTGAACCCTTGGCCTCAAACAGTGCTCCCTCATTAGCCTCCCAAAGTATTGGGATTATAGGCATGAACCACTGTGCTCCCTGATACCCTAAATATTTATCAGAAATTTTCTTTGCTATTTTCCTCATAGGATTACAAGGGCTATTTATTATTTTTTTTATAACTACAGTTGACCCTTGAACAACATACGGGTTAAGGGTCCAGATACCCCATGCAGTAAAAAATTCGTGTATAACTTTAGATTCCCAAAAAACTTGACTATTAATAGCCTGCTATTGACCAGAAGCCTTAATTGCTAATACATATTGTGTATGTTGTATGTATTAATAATGTACTCTTACAATAAAGCAAGCTAGAGAAAAAAATGTTACTGAGAAAATCCTAAGAGAGAGAAAATATGGCCTGGGCGTGGTGGCTCACTTAAGGGAGGCCAAGGTGGGTGGATCTCCTAAGGTCAAGAATTAAAGACCAACCTGGCCAGTGTGGTGAAACCACATCTCTACTAAAAATACAAAAAGTAGCCAAGTGTGGTGGTGGGCACCTGTAATCCCAGCTACTCAGGAGGTTGAGGCAGGAGAAACGCTTGAACCCAGGAGGCAGAGGTAGCAACGAGCTAAGACCGCGCCTTTGAACTCCAGCCTGGGCAACAGAGTGAGACTCCATCTCAAAAAAAAAGAAAAAATATATTTACTGTTCATTAAGTGGAAGAGGATGATCATAAATGTCTTTATCCTTGTCATCTTCAAGTTAAGTAGGCTTAGGAGGACAAGGAGGTGTTGGTCTTGCTGTCTTGGGGTGGCAGGCAGAGGCAGAAGAAAATCCACATATAAGTGGACCAGCACAGATAAAATTGTGTTGTGTTCAATGGTCAGCTGCACTTCATTTTCTTGAGAAAAATGAACTATTCTCAAATAAAGGAATCTTTTTTTTTTTTTTTTGACAGAATCTTGCTCTGTCACCCAGGCTGGATGCAGTGGCATGATCTCGGCTCACTCAACATCTGCCTCTTTGGGTCAAGTGATTCTCCTGCCTCAGCCTCCCAACTGACTGGGACCACAGACACCCACCACCACACCCAGCTAATTTTTTTTGTATTTTTAGTAGACACGGGTTTTCGCCATGTTGCCCAGGCTGGTCTCGAACTCCTGGCCTTCAGTGACCGCCTACCTCTGCCTCCCAAAGTGTTGGGATTATAGGCATGAGTACCCAGCCAAAAGAATCTTAGTTTATTAGGGATATAACTGGTTGACCTGCTTATTGGGGTACGGTTGTCGGTATCTTTGGGTTAGGCTGGATGGAGGGTAGATGGAAGGAGAAAATATCCATGAGAGGGTTGGGACTTCTCAGTTAGAATGAATACCTGGTGAATGGGAAGAGAAAGTCCCTAAGCTGACAATTTATTGTAAAACGTATCTGTGCTAATGCAGGAACTCCGACCCACCTGGTGCAGAGGAGTCTTGTCTTGACCTGCTTTGGGAGAGTGTTGTCTTGATGCTTTTCTCTTCCTCCTTGGAAAACAGCTGAAGAAATCAGGGGAGAAACCCCTGCTTGGTGGAAGCCTGATGGAATATGCAATCTTGTCTGCCATTGCTGCCATGAATGAGCCGAAGACCTGTTCTACCACTGCTCTGAAGAAGTATGTCCTGGAGAATCACCCAGGAAGCAATTCTAACTATCAAAGTAAGACTCAGTTGTGTATATTTAACTGGGATTAGGAGAATTTTCTTTTGAAAGAACTGTAGCGATCATGCTATTAATGTGAAAGTATTAACTACTGACTGTGAAAACCAAGAGGGAACAGCTTTACAAATTTAATATTTACAAAAAGAAAAATAAATAATCAAAACTGAATTCTTTATTTAAAGCATCTGCTTATAAGAAGTTGATTTACTTTGCTGTGAAGATTTTTCTGATACTTACTGTAATTTAGATAAACCTCTATGTTCAAAGCACCTCTGAATTAATACATTTTTTCCTACTTTGAAATGTTTACCTAAAACATCTCATGTTACTTTGAAACTAAGCCAGAACTTTAGAATACTTAGATTATTTCTTACTGACTTAAGCCCCACATCAGAAAATACTTTATTTCAGTAAAGTGTATTTACTCTAGGAGGTGGTGATTTGAGATGAGACACCCTGCCTTATCAGCATTATCACATATGGATTGGTGAGACTGGGTGACTTCTCAATGAACTACTAGAAGAGGCAGTGATGTAGGGTGGGGGATATGGAAATTAAGTTTAACAGAAGAAGATAAGCCAGAATATGTTATTGTAAATAAAAAGGTAATTTTGATGTCTTAATACTGACTTTTAACATATATGCAATATGTTTTGTTACGGTTTTTGCTTTCAGAGACAGGATCTTGCATTGCCTCTACTAAAAGTACAGTGGCTCCATCATAGGTCACTGCAGCCTCAAACTCCTGGGCTCAGGTGATCCTCCTGCCTCAGCCTCCTCAGTAGCTGGGATTACAGGCATATACCACCACACCTGGCTAATTTTTAAATTTTGGGTGGTCTTGCTATGTTGCCCAGGCTGGTTTCAAACTCCTGGCCTCAAGTGATCCCAAAGTTCTGGGATTAGAGGCATGTACCACCACGTCTGGCCAGTATGTATTTTTAAACATTATGAAGGAATGCTTTTCTGATTATTTTCTTCTTACCTACTTTGAAAACTGCTATTTTTATCTTTTCTCATTGTACATATTGTATATATGCATATTGATCCTTTTAGGCTATTTCATGATTTTCTGTTTCCAAATGTTTTAAGAGAAGATGAATTTGGTTAAGAAGCCTTTCAGTTTCACTGATATTTATAGCTGTTTTTTGGATACTGAATCACCATAAAATTTGGATATGTCTTTGTAGGAAAGATGAGAATGAAGGAATTCAGGAGCCAGGATACTGTTTTGTTACTGTTTACTGATTTATGAAAAATTGGTTCTGTTCATCTTGATAAGATACTCTCCTACACCGGGCACAGTGGCTCACACCTGTAATCCCAACACTTTGGGAGGCCAGGGCGGGCGGATCACAAGGTGAGGAGGTCAAGACCATCCTGGCCAACATGGTGAAAACCTGTCTCTACTAAAATACAGAAAATTAGCCAGGCCTGGTGGCACGCACCTGTAGTTCCAGCTACACAGGAGACTGAGGCAGGGGAATCGCTTGAACCTGGGAGGTGGAGATTGCAGTGAGCCGAGGTCACACCACTGTACTCCAGCCTGGTGACAGAACAAGACTCCATGTCAAAAAAAAAAAAAAAAGATTTTCTTCTAGATGATTATCAATACCTGTAGGTACACAATAGATGTTTAAATGAATCGAAATATCCAGTATCTCACAAGATTAGGCCTGTCTTGAATGAATGAATCGAAATAAATATTTAGTTTTAGGTATGCTGTTTATGTGCTACCTTAGAGCAAGTCAGTTTGACTCAATGGTCTCTAATGTATCTTTTCATTATAACACTTGTCAGGTCTGGTGGCTCATGCCTGGAGTCCCAGCACTTCGGGAGGCCAAGGTGGGAGTATTGCTTGAGCCCAGGAGTTTGAGATGTTTGATGAATTAAATAAATACCTTTGAACACATAGGATTCACTTAGCGCATGTCAATACTGTATGTGACAGTACATTAAGTTGATACCAATTGATGGGCATCTGTTTGTGGTTTAGGGAATTATCTAGTCTGAATAACTAGATAACTTTCGTTTCTGAATTTTTTTGTTCAGTGCATTTGCTGAAAAAAACCCTGCAGAAATGCGAAAAGAATGGGTGGATGGAACAGATCTCTGGGAAAGGTTTCAGTGGCACCTTCCAGCTCTGTTTTCCCTATTATCCCAGGTAAGCACTTAGCCCGTAATAGATCACTGTAAATTTATAATCTGATTCTAGGTTACACACTTCATTTAACTTATTTTACCATCATTACTGTTATAGTGAACTGGAGATACAGTCGTCCTTTGTATGGGTGATTGGTTTCAGAATTGCCCACATACCCAAATGTGCATGTACTCAACCCTGTGAAATTCATGTTTCTGAAAAGTCTGTCGTATTTGTTGTGTTTTTTGGTTTGTTTTAGGTTTTTGTTTTTTTTGAGACGGAATTTTGCTTTTTGTTGCCCAGGCTGGAGTGCAGTGGTGTGATCTCAGTTCACTGCAACCTCCGCCTCCTGGGTTTAAGTGATTGTCTGTCTCAGCCCCCCAAGTAGCTGGAGTTACAGGCGCCTGCCACCACACCCAGCAAATTTTTGTATTTTTAGTAGAGATGGAGTTTCACCATGTTGGCCAGGCTGGTTTTGAACTCCTGACCTCAGGTGATCTGTTCGCCTCTGCCTCCCAAAGTGCTAGGATTACAGGTGTGAGCCATCACACCTGACCAAGTCTATCGTCTTTGTATGCAGGCTTCACATCCGGCGAATACTGTACTTCTGATCTATGTGTGGTCGAAAAAAATCCACATATAAAGTGGGCTCATGCATTTCAAACCTGTGTTCAAGGGTCAACTGTATTTGAAAATAAAGATGACTTAAAGCAGTATTATTTTGGAGCAAAAGGTTTTTGTATAAGAATGGGGATTTTAGCTTAGGCATCAGATTATTTGAGATCCTCGGATGGTCATTTTGATGTTCGTTTCTTCTTTATCAAGTAAATGATAATGACAGGTTATTAGAGGATTATGTATAAGTTTTTGTTTTTTGAGACAAGGTCTCACTGTCGCCCAAGCTTGACTCACTGCAGCCTCCGTTTCCTGGGCTCAAATGATCCTCCCACCTCAATTTCCCAAGTAGCTGGGGCTACAGGTGCACGCCATCACACCTGGCTAATTTTTATGTTTTTTGTAGAGATGAGGTCTTGCCATGTTATCTAGGCTGGTATTGAATTCCCGGGCTCAAGCAGTCCTCCTGCCTCAGCCTCTCCGAGTGATGGGATTAGATGTATACGTTTTAATTGTCCAATACCAAGTGGGAAGAACGTTGACTGTTTCCAAGAATCTTAACTCTGCCTTCATTCTGTAAAGACGGGGCACTTATTTGAAAACTTGTCTCTTGTAAATACCTTATTTATTCTTTGAAACAAAAAAATGTGGGTTGGGTACAGTGGCTTATGCCAGTGATCCCAGCACTTTAAGAGGCCGAGGCATGCGGATCACCTGAGGTCAGAAGTTCGTCCTGACCAACATGGAGAAACCCCATCTCTCGTAAAAAATACAGAATTAGCCGGACATGTTGGCAGATATCTGTTATCCCAGCTACTCAGGAGGCTGAGACAGGAGAATCGCTTGAACCCGGGAGGCGGAGGTTGCACTGAGCCGAGATTGCACCATTGCACTCCAGCCTGGGCGACAAGAGCGAAGAAACTTCGTCTCAAAGAAAAGAAACAAAAAAATGTATTGAACACCTCCTGTGGGCTAAGCGTTGTTTCATGCACTGGTGCTGTAAAGCCTTTTGATTTCCAGTAAAGTACATAACATACACCACTAAGACCCTATTTTATTTAGCAAGACTATTGTGTAACTTTCTTTTGTTATTTCTGTACAAACATAAGTGTTACTTGGCTGAATATATGTTATATGAATTTTTCAAACATTAAACATTAAATTTAATTCCCAAAGTCACACACCCAAATGTTATATTCTGCCAGGTGTGGTGGGATGTACCTGTAGTCCTAGCTACTTTGGAATGTGAGGTTGGAGGATCCCTTGAGCCTAGGAGTTTGAGTCCAGCCCGGGCAACGTAACAAGACCCTGTTTCTTAAGAAACACACACACACACACACACACACACACCCTGTTTCTTAAGAACAGGAAACACACACACACACACACACACTCACTCTGTATGTTATCATTTAAGGATGTTAATCAAAAGAATCAAGATTCATACCATTAAGGACAAAAAAGAGTTTAGGAAACCCTTGCCAAATTTCTCTAAAGCTTTGAAGAGATTTAGGACTTTGAAGTCTTTTTTTTTTTTTTTTTT